AGGAGTATGAAGGAGATCACGAAACGCTTGGGTGCTGTCGGTGCTACTCGCCTTCCAGGATGGGGACCGCGTGATCCTCACTGTGCCTGGTTGGAGACACTACAAGATATGGCTGCCAGTCGATGTCAGTGGCGTTCTTGTTGTCAGTTTCTATCCAGATTACCTGACTGAATGTCTGGAGGTGTAGGCACCTCGGAATGATTGTGGTAAGCTAGCACTAAGTCCCTTCCCCGTCCACCTTTATTCTTTTCTTTACAATAAGGCTTTCAAATAAATCATGGTTGTACGGCAGTGAAGCGTCAGTGCTGAACACTGTCATGCTGTCGATGATGATGATGGTGATGACAGTGAGCAAACCAGAATTCCAAGCCGAACGATTGTGATATTAGTTAGGGCTGTAAAATATGTCCATACATCCAGTGCACTAACCAGTGCGAAAGTAGAGCAACTGAATGAGGCTTGCTGGTATGAACTTCAGCGAACACCAGACACCGTCAAAATCAGCTCAGATTCGAAGACAGAATGCAGTAAAACCCGTGATAACTTAGGGCTCATTGGTTTTCTAGGGAGGAATAAAACCGAAGTATTTGACACTGGCAGCCCTTCCCTAAATTCCTGTAATTCGAACGAAAATCCCGGGGGCAGTCACATTGTCAAGCCACTCGAACTCAGACGAGAAACAGAAGTGTGGAGGAATGAGCTGGCGGCATGCTAACCTTAGAGCTACTTCAAACCCTTCATAGATTAAGTGACGAACTGGTGCGCTTCCACAATTCAATAGCCACCAGGGAACCAGGTGACGATCATGCTTGCGACTCAAAGTTCTAAAATACCGAGTCCATTTTCGGAACCTACCCCATACCCAACACTGTTGAGTTGCATGGCTATAGTGTTCGAAAGACACCAAAACAATCGCGGTAGGATCCCAAGTGTCTGTCCTAAACAGTTGCAGCGAAATCAGTTATAAGCACCATGAACATCAAGGTTGACAGCAATCTTCATTGCCGTACACCGTAAAGTTCATCGAACTATAAAGCCTTAGAATGAAAAGTGGGTGAGTGCGGGGACCTGCTCATGGCCCATCGCAAGCACCGAGGTGCCTACACCTCCCACCGCTCAGTCGGACAATCTGGAAGGAAACTGACAGAACGAACACCACTGACAACGAACAGCAGCCGTTTCTTGCAATGTCTCCAGCTGAACGCAGGAGAGGTCATGGGGCCTTCAGCCTGGAAGGCGTACTCCAAGAACACCCAAACTCTTCCTATTCTTTCTCACATACTTCTGCCATGTCGACCTCACAGTTTCCGTCATTCTGAAGTAGCCACGGAAAGCGCTCATCTTGGTAGACCGTGTTTTGACATGCGCAGCAGATTGCTGCGCCATCATAGTCGATGGTGCTGGACGTTCCCCGCGACTGGAGTACCTGCTACACTACAATATACCCGCTTCCCAATTACCTCGTTAACGCCATCCAAAACCAGAAACGCTTCTAGGCCATCGGTGAAGACGCCTCACATCATCTGTTCGCAGAGGCTACTTCTCGCATCCATACAACACAGCCCTTACTGTAGCTTGGTGCAAGCGACCCTTAGTACCCAGTGAAAGACTTTTTGATCCCGCAAGTGACGTAAACTAGAAAACGTGATTATGGCTTTTGAGATCCTTTTGGACTTCATCAGGCACATTTCCGTCAGAGCTATTACAACTACCAAGGTATGTGAAGTTTCCCACAACCTCCAGTGTTCGGACTGCAGGTTGTGAACAATGACTGTAATTTAAAGGTGCTAGGTGCATGCCAAAAGACGGTACGATGGTGGCCAGCCTATTCAAGAGCTCGCAATGCTCCCTCACTTTAAAAAATAAGACCGGCGTAGCCAGCGCATGTCAGATCGACAAGGCTCTCACTAGCAACAATTTGAACACCGGAGCATTTCAGACATTCCAGCCTTCGCCTTAGTATCTCATTATTAACGGAACTAAATAAGAACGAAGGAAGTGGATATCCTTGTCGGACACCATTTTGTAGAGCTCACCATACACTCTCACAAGCCCTGAAGTATGTGAAAGTATGGACCGGATGGTGTCCACAAAATTCTGGGGCATACACTGTTGATCAGCTGTAGTAAACACCACCGGCCGATCGACAGAATCTAACGCACCCTTGAAATCAAGGAATACCGAGACTGTGGTTCGTCGGTGCATATGACGTGCTTATAATACCTGACGGTTTGAAGATGTGATGAACGCAGTCTACTTCGTCGAAATCCTGATTGATGCTCACGTGCCACCGTAAGACGAATCAGTGCACCAGAAGCCTTGCTACAACATAAGTCAAACTAACACCTGTGTGGTTACAACATTCACTGTGAGTAACCCTTTTCAAAATGGATACTGTTATCGATTCACCTGTTATCTGGAACGGTTGCTTCCTCCTAGATAGACACAAACAGGATAGACAGGCGCTGATTGAAGAATACGTCACCATCCTTGAAGAGAGCAAGTGGAAGGCCCTCAGGGCCAGGAGCAGGATGGCATTTGGGTGAGTATATACACTCGGACATTACTTACGCTGAGGGCGGTTACATGGTCTATTGAAGTCCGGCAGCCCGGATTGGAGATAGCAGGCGGCTTACTGAATTACTGTTCGAAGTATTGTACCCAGTGGTCCAAAAGCTTTGCTTCGTTTCGCCATCCTGGTCCATCATAGATGCGCTAACAAGAGGCTCCGAGAACCATCGAACGAATCAAGTGGAACAGCTAACGGAATTCTTCACAATTTTTTCGCATCTTTTAACTTATTCACATTTTCCGGTCCACCAGGCCTCTTGGTTGCATAGACACTCAGTTTTACCTGGCGTACGGTTGAGTTGTGATCGCGGTCAAGAGGAATCCGTCCTCCAGTAAAGATATGGTTCTATCAGAGATCCAATGTTTGGATGGAGTTGGGTGGGATGTACCGTAAATAGAAGCACTGTGGATATCTATTCCCAGTGCCCATTAATATCCAACATAGAATAGTCCGGCAAGCGTT